CGCTAGCTAACCAGACTCTAATCCGCCTACCCATGGCCCAAATGACAAAAGGGGTGGAGTCTGGCCCCGCGAGACTAGTCACAAATATTTAAAGTAACTAGACGAATGTAAAACATTAAAGGGGTGGCCTTAGCAAGCAAAGCAATGTACATACAATAGATCTTGACAGACTAACAATACTCATGCATGATTGTGCCTGTGCAACAAGGGTCTATGGTGCAACTAGGCAGCTCAGAACTTGATGTATCATGTAGTTATGATCTACCTTTGTAATCTCTGAAGTGAAAGTTAGTACCTTGTTTATACTATAGTTATAGTATTGAGCAAGCATACCTGAATCAGCACTTTTGCCCCAAAATAAATGGACCATGTCTGATATCCTATATACTGGTACAGCCCTGACACATTATTGGGGCGAGCCTGAGCTCGCCCGACTAAGATGAGAAAGCGTCTTATAAGCTGAATGCAAGTGAGAAAGCTGCATGTACTGTAGCTAGCTGCATGCATCATGAGATCTATTCTATAGGTGATGTTTCTTCTCTAGCAGCAAGCCTAGGTTAACAAAGCAGATGTACAATCTTCAAATCAGTGACTGCTTCTAACTATATATAAGCAAGATAACTTTAATTGCTGCAACACTGCAGAGATTCTAACCAGAGTGAGAATTGCTTGCGTGGGAAGACTATTACGGATGTAAGGCGTGGTTTACAATGAAATAAATTCCGGCCGCCATTTTGGTTGGCAACTTTCAATGGAGAGCAAACGGGACGACATAAAAACAAACCTGTATTAAGAATTCTGGAGCGAATTTGACCAAACCTTTCACAGGATAAGCTTGAAGGTAGCTATCCTTTCTTATAACAAGCACTTTTTAGCTATTGATAGAGCTACAGCAGGTAAGTGAGGCATTTTCTTCGTGCCTTCATTGACTTCCTTAACAAACTTGCCTGGGCAATAGTCGAGCAGCTGCCCGGCCCCCGACTGTCTCTTTTCAAAAAGTTTGTGGGACTCTAGCAACTTCAGGAGACGGCGAGACGCACTAGTATGAGCTTTTATGGCTACTCTCTGAGGATCTTTAGTGCATTAAGACATTTATTAGTGCTTGAACAGAAGTTTTAGAAAGTTACGGCATGTCGAAACCAAAGGCCATATTTCAATGGCGTCAGTACTCTAAAACTATTAAACGCAGTCCATAACAAACACTACAGTGCACTGTAAGAGGTTAAGAAGTAACCATAGAAGCAGATATTTATAGTATGTCA